ACCAATATTTTTAATCATACCAATATTTATACAATTGTATTGCCAGTCCTAAGTCTGAAAAACGAGAAGGATAATATTGATTATGGAATAGAAGCCTAAGACCTAATTTTCGCAAAAATAAAAAATATTTAATTAGGCATACATACAAAATTATACCCAGGGCGTAATATACGTATGTACAAAATATCCTCAGGCCGCAATTTACGTCAAAAATTAAAAATGGGACGCAATTTACAGCGTCCTATTTATATATAATTTTCTCCGGTTTAATCTAATATACTAATATTCTTATAAGACAATAATAAATTATTATTGCCAATAAAATTAAAAAATTCATTTTATTGATATTCTAATATTTTATCGCGACCGATTGTTCGCGATAAATTCACCACGATCCATACTGTGTGTATGCCAAGTGACAACGGAAAGCCAAAAAGAGAATGTAGTGACTAGATGAACAAAATTTCACTGTAACGTCCATATTCGATAACTGAGTACTACAAACGTAAAGTACGTTTTGTTTCTATCTGCATTTTAACCATAATATTAGTTATAGAATTAGTGTAAAATCAAACAATTAGGTACACTGTACATAATTAATGCAATAAAAGTGTATTCAAACTGGAGAGAGCTTAAGGTTTTAATGAAATAAAAAAAATTAAATAAAGTTCGGCTATCGGTTAAGGAGCTGACAGGATTTGGAGACCCCATCGATCGTGGGGTACCCTGAAACGTACCCAAAGTTTCCAATAGAAGAGGAGCTATAAAAGACCTATAAAAGAAAGAATATGAACGAGTGTGAAGTATACGACGTATACCCATTTTATTTTCTGTTTGTTATCGGACACCCGGGATAATACTTTCTCACCAGTATCTTGCTTCTGTTTCTGTGTTATGTCTTTCTTCCTGTCTATTTCTTGCAGTATAATTTTCACTTCAGTTTCGATCATCGTCTTCGCTCTAATCTAAACAATGGTGACTGTATTAAAATAAAAAATAAAATGTTTAAAGTGTAACTAATAATAGCGATAATGTTAACATTAAAATGAATATGTTC